AGGTGAAAACAAACCCTCGGCGATGCCTCTGCACAGGACTGGGTCCGTTTCGACGGGACCTATTGACCAGATCGGAGGGTGTGGCGGGGTGGATGTGGGTGCAACGAGGATGAGTGTTTCCCATTTTAACTATCAATGAAAACAGCCTGTCAGCTGTTAGAGATAAACCCAGGAGGGTTGATTGCCGGACTTGGGTGCTCCACAGCAGGCCACTGCCATTTCAGTTGTCTACCGCAGACTGCCGAAGTATGCTGGAATGCATTGAACGACAGTCTAATCATTATATCTGCAAGCGGTTGGGCTGATCGTTGAGTGCCAACACTATTTGCTACTTCTAAAATCTAATATTGGTTACTACATCATTGTGTGAAGTGCTATGTATTCTACCACTCAGGTTTTTACCGTTGCCGTTGTAAATCTCGCTACCCCCCCTCTCACACGCTGGCACGTATGGTCTCTCTGTACTCCTTCACAGTTTCACGCGCATGTTTTGGCTCGCACGTGCCTTTTTCGTTCCTACCCACAAACCTGAGCTGGCTCCCGCTTGCGCTTTTGCGGCCGGGCTGCGACCTTCGAGTGCTGTCATCCTTCGTTGCTGCCCGGTGTGCAAGTCCCACACGACCGAATGTAGGAACATGACGCGCGACGCAGCATTTGATGCCTCGACCTCCTTGTTCGTTGGTGTGCCCGACTTCTTCCTCTCTCCAATCCCTGCCGACAGCGCCTTGATGGTGGCGGCGGAACCACGGAGAACCGTCGCGGCACATCGTTGATCTCTGGTAGCGCTATCCCAGATGCTACTGCAATGCCCACGCCCACGATATTTAATGTAGTCGTTCCCGGCGAGGCACGCCAAATCGACAAGCATTGCGTCTACTACCTCCGGCGCCAAGAGAGTAGGAGACAAGCATCCCGGGGGGACACCATGCAGCTGCCGCAAGAATTGTCCATGCTTGTCGTCCAAGAGCAACTCTCGCGACGGGCGTAGAAGCGTCTTCCTCTCAATCACCTTCCCAGTGATCAAACCCTGCCTGTTTGAATTTGTCTTGTTTTCATAGAGCAGGGAGTGTGCAACCAGAACAACCAGTTCAGAGTCTGTCCCGTAAATGTATGTCCGGTTGTAACTCTCGCGCAGTGTTTGCTCCAAAGTAACCAGTTGGGCGTCGGCCTCGAAGGGAGCGGTGATGGTCTCACATCCACAGCTCCTGCTGATGAGTCCGGATATTCTAGCGATGACCCTTTGATCCAGATGCGCATTGCTTCCCTTCCTTGTCTCGATCGATCTCCCTTATCGCCGCCTCCATGCGTGTCCGAGCCGTCTCTCGCGCCTGTCTCCTCGCAATCCTAGGGCCCTCCTTTGCTGGTGGTGAATCCCCGTCGAATACTACAACAACGGTCCATTCGGCGTCCATCAATAGTCTCACGAGCCTGACACACGCTTTCGCCAAAGGATCGATTTCGCCTCGGTACAGCGCTGCCGCTACCCCCTCGTCACACACATGCTTATGCAGCAGAAAACACCCATCGATTATGATGGCGCTTCCTGGACCACCCCGTCCCAGGACGACATCCCGCGATGCCCCTTGCTTGCAGCACTTGAGCAGACCTTTTATGCCCATCCATACTCCTCGAGTGCCGCCAAACGTGAGGAGACACAGCTATGCGATCCCGGTGGGCTTGCAGGTGTCATGTACGTACATGCACAGGAAGGTTTGTTCGTGGGCCAGACAGAATAAACTGACTCTTCGCGAACGATAGAACCGAAGTCCAAGGTGTTTTGGCGTATACTGGTATATTTTCGTTCGAGCTACTGCTGCTGTTGGCTCTCCCCTCCTTGTAGTATGGCCTACACCAGCAAGGCAAGATAGCGCTATACTGCAGGTCACAGTTGTTAACCTAGTTACTATACTTAAGCCAAATCGCCCGGCAATAAAAGTTGCTCAATGCTGGTCCAGCTTCGATTCCTCCACGTTGAATAATCAATCAAACATCCAACGCCTTATCAGCGGGAAATATTCGAAACACCAACTACCAATATAATGCAGTTTTGTTGTTTGTTTGTTGTTTTTGTTCACATTAAACTCGTATCAGTTGCTAATCCCAAAATCTAGCAAAGACTCGGCCCGTGGTCACAAAAATGCTAAAGCCATCAGAAGATCTAAAGAACACGCACACTATTAGCAAGAAAAGGGTACACAAGCACGAGGAGGTACACCTACAATCCCTGCAGCACGTTTGCGTGCTCACAACTGAACTACACGCCCACACACTACAATTCGACTACAGCAGGCGGCATTACCCCCCTTGTCCCGCACTTCACCAAAATGAATGTTTGTCGACTACAGCGTACTGCTGTCTGAAGTGCTGTCTGTACAAAAATAACACCATGGTGTATGGTGCACAACAAGCTCGGGGCATGCAGCTGCTGTCTGAAGTGCTGTCAGAATGGGTCCGTGGACATACAATGAAGAAGAACAACCAACCAAAGCCATCATTGCAATTGACAATCGCCCGAATCTATCCAGAACATCTGTGTTAGACACAGCAGTGTAAACATCGACACTGACTAGGAATCGTTCCACATTCAAGGGGTCTTCCACGATGCAGGTACACAATTAAGGCACCCGGGTTATCCGCGCCATCTCTGCCGCGTCTCTCTACAAAACCAGTGACGTCATCACACATACCTAACACCTATTTTCAGGAAAAAAACGGAAAATAATTGACAACACAAGAAGAGATGTTTGTCCGTGCGACACGGTTCGATGCCGTCCGCATGCTCCGGTTCCGCTGCTGCTCCGGTGCCGCTGCTCCGGTGCCGCTTCTCCGGTGTCGCTGTGGCCAGTCTTAGCACGACCAAACTCGACCCGCTCCGCTTCATACACGCTCTCGTTGCTGTCCTTCCCAGTCGGTTCCTCGCTTTCTCCCTCGTTGCACTTAGGGTTCTTGGTCTGAAAATTCTCGCGCCGAAGGGTCAACCAGCCCAGTCAGCTCGTCACCACCTGTCCCCTCCTCATTTGATGGCAAAACCAGGTTACTGAGACAGTACAGCTCCCTCTAGCAAACATAGGGCCGTGTACATAGTGCCCGTCCACCTTTCTGATGGCGTCTGCCTCCGCGCACAAAGATGAGATGGGCATTGCTGCCTGCACCGACGGCCTCGAGGCCCGCGCATCTGCACCTTTGTACCTGACGCACCAGTGCCGACCCAACTCCACCACTACGCACGCCTCGCGGCGGGTGCGCCGTGGCAAGAAGGTATCGGTCCCTTGAGGGTGAGTCTAGCCCTGCTCGCTAGAAAGACCCCCCCCCTCGCTTTGGGTCATGCCTAAGCAAAACCTTGCCGAGGCAGCGAGGGGAAGAAGAGGAAGTACGAATGTCCCACTCGACATTCAACATATATCAACTTCGCAGGTACAACGCGGAAAAAATCGAAACGTCAAACACCAAAAAGTACGGGTGTCCCACTCGACATCCAACACCTATCAACCCCGCAGGAAAAATGTGGAAAAAACGAAACCTCAACTTCCAAAAATATGCAGTACGACTGTATGCCCCACTCGACATTCAACGGATATAAACTTCGCAGGTAGAACGCGGGAAATAACCGAAACATCAACTACCGCAAATTAAGTACGGATGTCCCGCTCGAAATACAAGTAAATCGATGTCGACTTCGCAGGTAAAACCCGGGAAAGAATCCAATCATCAACCACCAATACCCAGCGTCAGATTCACTGCTGCGCTACATCGGGCATCTTGGTATCACCACCCCCGCCCCCCCGCCTCCCCCTCCCCAATTATTTCAGGCTGAATTTCACCGTGATTCCTCGACAGAACCCTAATTTTATCCCCTACTACAGACACACAGGCATGACCCTAAAACCAAATACCAGTACATTGTAGCAAGGATGAGAAAGAAGCCTGGCGGCGTCTGACACTCGCCAGGCCAACGCTATCTAGCCCATGGGTCCCCACGACCACGCGCCGTTGGCACGGCAGACTTGGGTGGAAACTCCGTCACCGAAAACCCCAGACTGTTGGGTCGTCGGGAGTTGCTGCTGGACATGCTTGCTGCCCCATGGCCATCGCCTCCTGCTGCATGCTAGGCTGCATCGTCATCGTATGGGCCGGCTGCATGGCCATCATCGCCGGCTGCTGCTGCATCGGTTACATGCTCATGGGCGGTTGTTGCTGCACGGCCATCGCAGACTGCTGCATCGCCTGCTGCTGAATGGCCACGGACCGAAGTTGCATGGGGTGGTGGTGGTGGTGGTGGTGGTGGTGGTGGTGGTGCTGCTGCTGCTGCTGCTGCTGCTGCTGCTGCTGTGCACCCGTTTCCTTGTTGAGAACTGCCACCGAAATCAGCCCCGTTGCTGAACACGCCCATACGCTGCGAACTAGGGTCTTGACCGGAATCGCTGCAATTGTCAAACGAACGTGGACGGGGAAGGCCACGCATATCAGTCACGGGTACGAAAGTAACCTAGGGGTTGTAGCAGAGCCCTTGGGCCAGGAATTTGTGCCTATCCTGTGCAAAAAAAGAAGGGATTGATTGTTACCTAAAAAAAAACTTGTTTACATGGACGAATGGAATACGATTCACGGTGTCCTTGTCATGTGCTGTGCACGCCACCACTTACTCGAACAACTGATGGGCGACGTCAAAATACGCTAGTCTTGTTCTTCTAACTCACGAATTTCGCCTGGGAAGATTATCGAGCGCCCTGGATACTTTGATGCCCCCCGGAGTGCGCTCTTTCGGGGACTCGGCGGTGTGGCGCTTGACTGCCTTGTAGCCTCTGTCGAAATCTTCCCTGAGATATGCGCATCGCAAGTGCTTGCGCTAGGAATAAATTGGGACAACGTGTAACACAATGGCGATAGGTGCACGTGGAAAGCTGACAACGCTACGCGAAAACATGGAAGCTCAAAGAAAGCATATTTCATCTCGATATTGCCGGTGTTCCTCTGGCCATCAGTGGCGCGCGTGCTAGAATACGCTCAAGTATCCCCACTGCCTCCACGCGTGACGCACGTGCCGCTACACACAGGCTACGCACACGCACGCCAGGACTCAGGTTTATGGATGTGAGGTTGAAATATGCCGATCGAACGTGCTACTGCATCACCGAACGTCGAAAGGCGGGATACTACCAACCGGTAGCATGTCGACCAAAACGTCTGCAAGAACATACACCATGTCAACTTGCGCCGTCCCCGAGAGGCTAACACCATGCAGATTCGACGGAAGCCTCCAGCTACAGACCTGTTAACGACATGCGTGAAACTCCACATATGAAAACTCGCAAGGCCTACCAACCACAAACTCGGCATACCTGTTGGCGAGGCTTTTTAGTACACGGGAGAGAGTGTCTTTTCCTACTCCATCCGTAGAGTTGTTGGCCTTCCTCTCCGGAGTCTTCGAACCGCCGCCGGCCTTGTCGGATAACGTCGTCACCTTCGTGGCAACTGACTGAGCGAGGCCGTCCAGGCTCTCTGTCACCCGAGCACCTACCAAGGACGACGTTGCTCGGGCTATGTTGAAACCGGCGCCTCCAGGTCGGTAGTTCTGCAGCTCGGCCGTAGGGTGGTCATGTGCTGGCGGACGTCCGAGCTGATTTGTTGACGCAGTTGGGCCACCTTCGTGTCGACAGTGTTCGTGATCTTCTCATCGATCTTACTCACGTCGAGACCTGGAGCGCCACCCTTCCCCTGCGTGCGAGGGACAACGCGCAAGAATTCGTATGTATCTGAGGAAATGCGAACCAACCCTGCAATATTCTCGTCTTGAGGTCATAGCATAGTTGTCGGGGATGGTATCGCCGTTGAACGAGAGAGTGCACCGGGTAGCGCGTAAACTAACCAAACATGTATGTAGTTGTTGCCGCAGAGTTGACTTTTCATCCACCTTCCGCAACAGAAAAATCTACGTAGTCGACGTCAATCTCAACGACGTCAGAATAAGACAGCTATTACACAGGGCGTACCCTAGCGAGATGAAAAATTTAGTGCGAAAGTGCAACCGAGACTTCAGCAACGACTTCCAAAAACAAAGAGGGTAAACCTCCATGCCGTCACTAAACCCTTTATGACTCGATAACAGTCGTACGTGCAAGCATTCTGTGCAAGCGTACGATGCTTCGAACAACCCCTCTCACGACTCATGACTCACCTTCTTCCCGTCGCCGGCCTTTGAGAATGCAGCTGTCGCCTGTTGCAGGGATGCAGCCGACTTCGCATTGCGCAGGCTCTGCTGCTCTTGAGCCTGTGTAGCCGCGTTCACCGCCTTCGAGAAAGTAAGAAAAGGAAGTTCACAGCCGTCATCGTACGTGTGTTGATGGAAGAGCCCAGCTGCAAGAACGCGAAACAACGGCAACCCTCGTGAAACAGTTTACTGACGGACTAACTAGACATTGCCAGCGCAACATTGCATACCGCAACCAAACAATTTCAGTCTAGATACCCTAATAATGCACTCAGCCCTTGCTTCACTACCTGCTGTATCTTGGTGAGGTGCCCTTTCAGCATGTTGGACACTCCCTCCGCAGTGGCGTCCGCCGCTGACTTCCTAACATCCTCCTTGAACTTCTTGGTCGGCCCCGAAAGTTGCTGCTTGACGACAGCCCCCAGCGACTGGTTGAAGGCCTTGCTGTCGACGTCCTTCTTGAGGGCGCCCCCCGTAAGCGCCGTGTTTAGACGCTTCGGCACGGCGTGCGCCACGGCGGCCTGGACCGACTTTTTGACATGGACATTGTTCACGCGGGAGACGACCTCGGTAGGCCTGTCCGAGGGGGCAGAGGGAGCAGGAGAATGCTGCACGGACAGCCAACCAGACTTGCGTCTGGAGTCGGGGAGGCGAGTGGGGACGCCAACCCCAGGAACAAAACCGGCCTTCTTGTTGCATCCTACCGGGGTGGGGGCGCCTCCGCCGGAAGTACGGCTCCCAGGACTCGTGCCGGGGCGTGATGTCTTAGACCCGGAAGTACGGCTGTCCTTCAGGTACGGGTTGATCACCGTCTTGACCGGGTGGGCGACAGACTCATGTGTGGCCGCCGAAGTCGACGAACCCCCTCCCGTACCCTGCGCATCAACGCCCAAGGTGGCGGCAGACGTGAGCGGGGCGGCGACAACCTTCTCGACCCCGATGCCCACTGACGAGTTGTACCCGCCGTCACCACCTGCGGAGACGCCAACAAAGTCGGAAGAAAGGCAGAAGAAGCATAAGATTAAACAGAAAAGGAGTCGACTTGGAGGACATCTAGTTGTGGTCGTGGACTTTTATAGAAGTACCCTCCGTCTCACCAAAACACCGGAAAAGCGGATTTACAGATTCGCCCGGATACGAAACTCCAAACTGAAAGAAACAATCACATCACGTGCAGATTACCTATGTCGTCACCTATGACTCACCGCCAAATATTATATCTAGATACAACACAGACGCCTTCACGGCCCCCAGCAGTTGTCCCGTGTTGACGTTGCTCAAAGGAACTCCCTTGCTCAAGCCCTCCGCTCGGGCCGGCCCCGCGATGCTGCACTGCAATAGCCAAAGGGTATACATGATTTGTCATGTTTATCGTCTTGACGGTACGTCGGTTCATACTAATGAAACACGCTCATGTCCTCTTTTTGGTGAAATACAGAACACATGAAAATTGCGACATCTAGAGACGGGGAGTGTTCGTGGATCAGAACTTACGAGCGCAACGTTGTTATGGTTTGTCTTGCACCTGGGCAGACGAACTGGCAGACGACTCATCAACGTAAGACCTGCTCACGAACCACCCACGAAGCAGGGTAGAACTGGACTCAAAATCACTAATCGAAGCTGACCTAAACGGGCATGTTCCCCACGCTTCTCCTCGCCGTAGGGCCTTCTCTGTGCGCTCTGGATGGATAGGAGCTGGGCTGCCGTCTGCCCGTTGTCCGTGCTTCTCCCATGTCCAGGAGGATCTGACAGACGAGAATTACGGATAGAATTAGGCACGTCGTCCACCAATACACACGTGTCATCTCAGGAAGAACAGCACATGGCATTATCACGCATCTGGTAAAGGCGAAGGGCGGACAGGTCACCACGCCTAGAGGGACACTATAATTTCCGCAAAGTTCACTAAACAACTCATAGCGTTTCGATCAAGAGAACGCTCTGTTACGTTCAACAGTTTGACAACAATATGCTTCGAGTAACCAGAAAGGCAACGGCAACAGCACCAAAAACAAAACTAACCATAATTGAACCCGTTGTTCCCGGGATTGTCCGTCTGGAACCCGGAGGCCGCCGGTGTATAGTTACCCGATGGATGACCTCCGGCTGAAGGCGCTGGCTCGGGAGTGCCTTCGCGCAGAGTGTGCAATCGGTTTCACGACAACAACGATCGACGTGCGTTAGGCGCTACCGTATACCTTATCCCACAAACCATAAACCAATCATCAACTAACAACACCTATTACTATATGTATTTTGGAAGTATGTGATGTTTGAGTGTTTGCGGCCTCCGCCACTTATTTATCGAGTGAGACTGTTTCGGTGATGTATTAACTTCACAAGAGGTAGGCGACCGTCCTTCACACGGACGAAAGAGGGAGTGCTCCACACAGAGCAGCTCCAACGCTCCAACAGCAAGGAGGGGCCCCGTGACACATCACGGTGCCCCCTACCAAACGGCAATGTTACCAATCTGCGTGACACCAAATCATACAGCACGTGTATCCAACACCAATGTTCGCAGACTCTCGAACACCCTCCCTGGTTCTTCACGCGAGTGACTTACCATCAATGGGGCAAGAACGCCCCTGGATACATCAGAAATACCAACATGGTAATATGTGGAGGGGAAACCCGGCGTCCGGGCAAAACCCCTCGAAAGAAACCCTAACACCACAGAGAAAAACCGTCGCTATCACAGCGGATCACAACGGCCGCACATATTAGAAAATCCAATGCAAGTGCTAAAAAACAGCTACAGCTTCTCCGGCAAATTCATCAACTTGCGCCGGTGGTACTGCAGACTGGCCCTGCTAAGGGCCTTGGTGAGGAGGTCCCGCGTGTTGCTCCGTTGTCGGAACGAACTTGACCGAAATATCCCCCGACCTAAACAATCCGCGGATAAAATGAAACCTCACGTCGATGTGTTTCGTGCGGCCTGAGCTGAGGGGGTTCTGCATCAACGCTATGGCCCCCTGGTTGTCCTCAAGGACCTGGATGCTGCTACCACTGGTCTCTGGGGCAACAAACGAAAGCACAGCACGCACAAACAACGCTTCCTTGACGCCCTCCCCAGCAGCAATGTACTCGGCTTCCGTCGAAGACAAAGACACGATGCTCTGTGTCTTGCTACCATGGCTGACTGCGGTACCTCCAACCGTTGCTGCCAACCCTGACACCGAACGCCTATCCTCCGTGTCGGCGTAGCTAGCGTCTACGTACACGGCAAGCCCTAACCCCGATCCCCGTTGGTAGGTGATGCCGAGGTCCCTCGTCTGCTTTAGGTAGCCGAGGATCTTCTGTATCGCGTCCCAGTGCCTCTTCGCCGGGGCGTGGGCGTGGCGCGCTACCGCACGCACGGCGAACGATACGTCTGGACGCGAGAACGTCGACACTCACATCATGCTGCCGATGGGCTCCCTCACCGGCCACTCCCCTCCCTTCTCATCATCTCGCTTCGGTCCTAGGTCGGCACCGGGGGTAGCGGGGATGTGGGAGGTCGATTGCACATCAAAGCGTTTCACCATGCTGTCAATGTACGCGGGTTGGGAGATTCTAAGAGTCCCAGCCTCTACATCTCTCTCGATGGCACACCCGTCAAACCATTCACACTCTCCAAGGTTTTTGGTGGGAAATTTCTTGTTGAGAGAAGCAAGCAACTCCTCACAATCCTCGTCAGACCCAGCCACCAAAATGTCATCCACATAGATCACGATAATCATCACCACGACTTCGTCTACCATCTTGCGGAAAACACACGGGTCCGCTTTGCACTGTTCGAACCCGTTCTCGACTAGCGTATCAGCAGCGTGGTACCCCCACTGCCTACCGCTCTGCGTCAGACCGTAAATCGCACGCTCAGCCTTAACAATTTTATGCGATTTGTCCCCGCACCCAGCGGGGATCTTCAGGAAAACCTCCTCGTCTAGCGTGGCGTGTGTGTACGCCTGTTTCACATCCCAGTGATTGAGGTTCATGCCCTTCTCGTTTGCTACCGCAAGCATCAGCTTAATGGATGTAGATGAGGGGCAAGGGGAAGACGAATTGAAATAATCGACGTTCGGGATTTGCGAAAACCCCCTAGCAACCAGACGCGCTATGAACGTGTCTATCTTCCCTTGTTGGTCTTCCAACTAAAACACCACTTTGAGCTCACAGGCCTGTGCCCCTCTGGCGTGCCGTCTACGAATGAAAACGTCCCCGTGCCCAAGTGCCCTTCAAATTCTTCCCTCATGGCCTGTTCCCATCCCTCTCTGTACACAGACATGGCAACACCGGCTACGGTCATGGGGGGGGGTTCTACATCACTCGGACGCTTGCCTATGGGGGATTCACTTAGCTCGTGGGACGCCAGAGCCGTCTCGAAGGCGTTTGGCGAGTTGAGCATGAGGTCCACCGCGCCCAGCAGGAAGTCCTCCGCTTCTTGGCGCGCAGCGTGGGCCTCCTCGGCGCGCTCGAACAGCAACTCTCGCACCACCCTCGCCTCTAGCCCCTCCGCCACGTGGAGGACCGCCGAGAGCACCCAGCGGGTGAACTCCTCCGTGCTGCTGACGGGCAGGCTCGCCACTGAGGCGAGCAGGGCTTCGGCACTTGTCGGCGACGGGGGCGACTCGTACCTCGGGTTTCTGCGAGGGTTCTCTCTGGTGCGGCGGCTGGTGAGTTCCGCCGGCTTGTCGAAGCGAGCGAGCCGCCGGGCCTCTGGCCCGCGGACCGCCAGGAGATCCGTCTCGCTGTCGCTGTCGCTATCACTGCCGCTGCCGCTGCCGCTGTTGCTGCCTCTGTCGCTGCCGCTGCCGCTGCCGCTGCCGCTACCGCTGCCTCCGCTACCGCGGCTACTGCTGCTGCGGCGGTCGTCCTCGCCGCCGCCCACATCGGCCATGCCGGCCGACGTGGTAGATGGGGCGACGCTCGCGCCCTCCCTGCTCGAGGGGGCGCCATCGCCAACGTCGCCTGCGCCCGACTCCTGGGGCGCGGCCGGCTGCGCCGCCGGCGCTGCGCGCGCGGGCGGCCCCGCGGGCCCCGGGGCTGCCGTCGTGCCAAGGTTGAAGCCTGGTCCTCCATCCACAGGTTCTCCCTCCGCCCTCCCTCCACCTTGGCTCGACGCGCCCTCCCCAACCTCGTCCTCCTCAGTCGCGAATTCCTCTTCCTCCTCTGCGATGGGAGGCAGCGACTGGGGCAGGGCGGTGGGGGCGGCGGGTACGGATTGCCAGGTGAAGTTGCGAGTTGTTATCGCTTGGCGTTGTTCGTTCAGGATGCGCACGCAATCACGGTTGGTGTTGATTCCCGGGCCGAGGTAAAAACACTTTTGGGCTTTCGGCTCGGACTTGTGTGTGCGCTTGACCTTGTATACGGCAGGTTTGAGGAACGGGTACGTCGCCCCCGGCGGGGGAGGGTGCCCGTGCCACATCTCGTACGGCGATTTCTTCTCTGGGTTGGATGTGGTGGAGGTGCAGTTCAGGGCGTTGCATGCCCAAGCTATGGCCTCGGCCCAAAGGGAGGGGTAGTTCGGTGCTCCGGGGTAAAGAGTTGGCGCTTGGATACGGGCGGCTAGTGCTGCATCCTTGATCAGACTCAGTGCTCTCTCAGCTACACCGTTGTATTCTCGGCTGTGTGCGGGGGTGAACTCCCGTTTGATGCAGTACTTCCGGCACACCTTGCCGAACTCTCCCTAAAAAAACTCTCCTCCATTGTCGGATCTCACGACCATGACATCGGACGGGGCACCGTCTGCCCGGTTTTCTGCAAGATACCTCTCGAATGCCTCAGCGGCGTCTGATTTGTGCTTCAGGAAATAGACACGGTTCCACCTTGTGTAATCATCCTTGACAATGAGAGTGTACCACTTCCCCCCCAAGCTCTGCACCCTAGCTTTTCCACTCAAATCCACGAAAACTCGCTGCAGTTTCTTAACTGCTCGGGTCGACGTCTGTTGGGGATGGGCTTGGAAAGCCCCTTCGCCGTCGAGCACCCCAGGCACTCCCGGAGCTCGCCCACCAGCGTCGTTCCCTGCTGCTTCGCCGTGGTCCTCAGCAGCACCTCGTGGGAGTGGCCGTGCGCGCAGTGGAAGTCGTTGATGTCAACGGGGGTGTTGGGCGCTTTCGCGCTACCAGGAGCAATTGCGGCATAGGCTTGTTCAGAGTGTTTGCGGAAACCGTTCTGAACGTACAGGTTACCGCATCGGAGGAAGTACACCGACTTCCCCCCCCCTCTCTCCAATTCCAACTCGTGCTTATTGAGGGTTTTGGTTTCGAACCCGTCGTCGACGAGGGAAGTGAGAGATACTAGGTTGTAATCTAGTCGGGGAACGTGTGCAACCCGTTTCAACAACAGGTCGGTTGTACCGTCGCGCGAGCTAAGGGTTACCGTCACGTCGCCATACCCTACAATAGGGAAGGTTTCTCCTGCGGCGACGCGCACACGTCGATCACACTCTTCGTAACGAACGAACCCATCTGAGTTCGCGAACATGTGGGTGGTAGGGCCGGTATCGGCAACATACCTCCCCCGCCTAGCCTGCTCTACACCCCCTCGACCAACGACTCTGTGACACTCGCCTGAGATGTCACCGACCACCAGCGCCTCTTCTGCCACGTCCAGTGCTGTGGCGTCCGCAGACGCCCCCCCCGCCGGCACTTCCACGACGAGCACCGCCTCCTCGGTCGGGGACTTGCTCTTGTCGTGCCCGTAGCCCTTGCATGTCTCACATCGCACTGGCTTGCTCTCGGGGCAGTTGGCCACCTGGTGGCCCTTCTTGCCGCACCGGAAACAGCGACCGCGCATGCTACCCGCATCGTCGTCGCCGCCTCCGCCGCCGCCACCAGCCTTCGCGCCACCCCCTCTCCCCTTCTGGTTGCCGCCGCCGTCGCCGCCGCCCTTGCGGCGGCCGCTGTTGCCGCGGCCCGGCGCTCCTCCCCCGCCGCTACCATCGCTCGCGAGGAGAGCATGCTCCGCCCTACGCTGGCCCTTCAGAGCCTTCCTCCCCTCCGGGAGGCTCGCGTGCACCGTGCTCACGATCCTGACGATCT